CTGTTGCTCAGTACACCAGTAGTTTCTTTCCTCTTCAGGACATTCCAAATTGTAGTGTTGGCTATGCCCAATGTCTGTCCAATGGCTCTGCTCGATTTTCCTTCTTTTCCCAGCTGCAAAATAGCTTGCTTTTTTCCCATAGACAACTCTCTCGTTTTCATGTTGGTTTAGCCTTTTTAACAAGAAATGAAGTCTTTACAGGTGAAACACATGATTAAAACCAAGAGTAGTCATTCAGAGCTATTTAATGTCTAAACAATCAATCTAAAAGGCAGCAACTGGTCTGCCAAGAAGAACAACAGCAGTTGATGACAGAAACATTGTGAGAGCTGTGAGGAAAAGCCCCCAAACAACAGTCAGTGACATCATCAACAACCTCCACAGTGCAAGGATGAAGGACTCACAGACCACAGTTCGAAGAAGACTCCAAATACAGAAATTTAGAGGCCATACTTCAAGATGAAAATCACTCATCAGCAGTAAGAATCGGAAGGCAAGATTGAAATTTGCAAGGAAGTACAGGAATGAGTGACAAAAGTTCTGGAAGAAAGTTTTATGGATTGATGATACGAAGATTAATCTCTACCGAAGTGACGGAAAGGCTTGCATGGCTGCTTCTGGAACAGACTCATTCATAATTATTGATGTAGATCATGACAGTAGCAGCAGAATAAATTCAAACAGCCACAGACACATTTTGTCTGCCAATTTACAGTGAAACACATCCAAACTAATCTTTTCAGCTACACAGTCGAAATCTACCTTCGGGCAGAGAGGAACCCGGACGAGGCTCTGCCGAAGGGCAGAGTCTTTTTCGGGGAGGTAGTCTGACCTGATCCCGTTTATGCGGGTTCTACGGGGATTTTTTGGCCGAGCCTACGGGAAGACCCATGTTATACTAGGCCTTGTGCCACATCTACCCTCGTGGGGCGGGGGTTAATAAATACCAACTAATCAGGAGGAAGTTTATCATACAGCAGAACAATGACCCAAAATGTACTACCAACACAACAGAGGACTTCATCATTTGTGTACAGTTTTAGACTAGCCAGTTAGTCACCGGACCTTAACCCAAGAGAGCATGCATTTCATCTGCTGAAGGAAGAAATTCCCGAAAAAAAAATCCGAGATTTCTTGACACCCTATAAAGTCAGGTTGTGACACAAGGTCGGTTTTTAACGTGGAGACCCGAGTGTTTCCACTCGGGCAGCTGGTCTAAGCTGGTCTTAGCTTGTCTAAGTTGGTCAAAGGTTATCTTAAGCTGGTCATAGCTGGACATAGCTTGTCTGAACTGGTCAGAGCTCGTCTAAGCGAGTCATAGTCGTTCATACCACCGCTACGTACTAGATGTCACGCATGAGTGGGGAGCGCAAGGGAGGAGAGAAGGCTTCCAGCATAGAACAGATACTACATCTGCAGCATCCATCCCGACGGGAAAAACTGACCTCTCCCCGTCAGCCTCCGGAAGGAAATCCCAATGAGGTAATTAACCCATCTAAATGCAATTACCAGGAAATAAAAGTTGAAATTCTGAACTATTGTCTCATATTCATCTTTTGATCTTGTTTTATAGGAGTAAAGTGTCGCTGCCGACACTGTAGTTTGAACATAAATCGCCAGTGAACAAACACGGGCGATTCCATTTTGGATAAGTAGATCACGTGATAGTAAAGGAGATGTATATATGGAAATTAGCGTGGCGTCTACTTGATCAGTATTTCTACACTATCCTCTATTAATATACGAATCACCATTTCTATTCTATCCTCTATTACTATACGGATCGCTTTTCTCTACTCTATCCACTTTACTATTTCTCTATACTGATCACTATGCGGTGGTTACTATTCGAGCGAGTATTATCGAGCAAGTAATATTCGAAGGCGTCTGACACTAGTATTGTTCAACGGCGTTACTATAGTTATATCTGCGATTACAAAGTCACTACTAAAACGAGCAATACGAAAGTGAAAACGAGTATTTGTTGGCATTACAAAAGTGAATTTGATTTGATCAGAAATGCAGTTCCTTGAAGGACATATTAATTCATAAAAAACTTTCTATATATACACATTCGGTTAAAAAGTATTCGTTGACATTACAAAAGCGAATTTGATTTGATCAGAAACGCAGTTCCTTGAAGGACATCTGAATTCATAAAAAGTTCTAATCACTCCGGATATTTATAAATCTACACATTCAGTTAAAAATTAAAATACAGTACTTATGACATAACCGAATATATATATATATATATATATATATATATAGAGAGAGAGAGAGAGAGAGAGAGAGAGAGATGATAAAAATATTGTTTTAAGTTATGCAATATTTATGAGTAAAAGTACTCAATATGAGGGATAGAGCGTGTACATATATAAAAGTGGAGGGTAAGGTCATACTGAATGGCAATAGTCTGTTTGATGCTTGAATACAATCTTCAGGTCATTCCTGCTCAATAACCGCATTCTGGCCCATAGTTATTTCTACACAATAGCCTTCAGAATAATTTAAAATATACACGTTCCTGCCTATCCAATAACCATTAGGATAACATAATAAACCGGAAACACTTTGCTAACCATCGACCAGCATATATAAATAGTCGAGCTAGCACATATGGCCTGAATATTGTGTTCATGCATCAAACTGCAGTATCCACTCACACACGCACACACACACACACACACACACACACACACACACACACACATATATATATATATATATATATATATACAGAGAGAGAGAGAGAGATAGATAGATAGATAGATAGATAGATAGATAGATAGATAATATTAGTGGTCAATATATATATATATATATATATATATATATATATATATATATATATATATATATATATATGTATATATATGTATAAATTTCAAAATTTTTACGATAGAATCCAGATAGAGCTCAATGTGCAGGACAGAGCAAGAATATAATATAAAGACACAAACACTAATATTCCATGGTAATAATTTATTACATTGGAATCAAATCACGATCCAATTCATCAGACTTACAAATTAAAAAAATGCATTGAATTTTTAGGTCTCATGAATTGAATCATGATTACAATTCCAATGTAATAAATTATAAATATGGAATATTAGTGTTTGAGCGTTTATATATATATATATATATATATATATATATATATATATATATATATATATATGTATATATATATATATATATAGTGATATCTGTCGAAGCTTTAATAAAAGTGAAAAGTGTTAGATTGAGATACATTTCGTAATTATTCTTTATTTCATTTTATCATCTTGTTGGATTCATATCTATATTTGATCTACATTTAATCATCCATTCATGTGTGTATATATATATATATATATATATATATATAAACGTATGTATGTACATTAGTACAACTAGTTTATTTTTCTCTGGTTATTCTTTGAATGTAACATGGCCTTGTACTCAAGACGACCTCGTCCAAGAAATCATTGCCTCCAAAATCGGCGCATTAACTGGAGAGTAAATCGAATGTTCGTGCCCGTCTTTCAAATTCTCCAAAACTTTGATAACTCCGTTGTATATACGTGTATGCATAGTTTAAGATATACACACACACACACACACACACACACACACACGAACACACACACACACACACACACACACACATATATATATATATATATATATATATATATATATATATACCGTTTCTAACAGCAAAATTGTCCAAATCGTAAGAGCATAATTATCCATCAAAAAATGTTTAATATCTAAAAAACACGAAACTAATTGAGCTTTTTTTTTTCCAGGCTTTCAGATAAGACCTTTAGTCATCTTGACGCCATTTCTCGTAAGAATCACCGAAAAACTCTTTGCGTTATTCCGCTAGAAAGCGAACAGGTTAAAATCGTTTTGTGTCAGCCGCACTCTCTTCCCAACTGTGCAATTGTATCAACATTCATACTCTGGCTTCCCTCCTCAAGGTCCATTCAAGAGAACAGTGAATAAGTTTTAAAAAGAGGTAACTGTAGAGAGGCAAACTGGATCAAGAGGTCACAACAGCAAGAGGAATCACCATGTCAACTTAGAGTTAAAGAGATTAATTAGAAAAGATCTAACTCAATCCATAAGATGTTTGGCACTTGAGAGTGGAGTTGAGAATGCAACGAGGCAGCCGCTATAAAGGTCCAAAAACAGTGGAAAAAGACTAGAAAATGAAATCGTACGTGAAACCTGTTAGGCACCTTATTAATCCAAGACAGAAAGTTAGAAAGTTAGAGAGGGCGAAGGTAATCTTGAATAAATAGGGAAATGATCCTGGAATATTATATATATATATATATATATGAAATTAATTTCAATCCTTCATGAGCTTCCGATCCTTAGCTATGATAAATTAATGAGAGTAATCATACATTCTTATTGCTCAAAGTCAAGTCCAATAGAGCTATAAAAACCTCGGAGAATTCCAGTGAGATATCTTTAATCATTTCTATGATATAACGGTTCAAAGCTTAATCTAACAATTGGACAATTTGGCTGTTACACGATTTGGACAATATTATTGTTACACCCGGTATATATATATATATATATATATATATATATATATATATATATATATATATATATATTCGCTCTGTCTTGGTGATCGAGACATAGTGTACTGTATATTACTGTTTAGATAGGTGTCGGTCTATTGTTTATTTCTTCTTATGTTTCACCTCTCCTCCTATCGGTTTTACACTTCGCTGTTGTTTTATTGGTTGTAATTTTTTTTCTATCATTTTCTTATTGGCCATCTGACAGGCTTTGTGTTGGCTTTTTATATGATATATATATATATATATATATATATATATATATATATATATATATATATATATATGAAAGAAGGAATGCTCCGTTTATAGACAATTTTGATCTATGTTTTAACAAAAAAATAACGTGGTTGCCAACTCAGGCCAAAACAATAAAATTTTTGCGAAAGGGAAATAATATAGTGCTTGTTATCAATGCTTTTTGTCTTTCCAAGCGTTTTTCCATATATTCGAGAGGCAAACAGTCGAGTGAAATCTGTAAAATATTCCCAGCGGTACAGATATATGTGTGAGGATCGCCCAGGCCATGTGACCGTAAAAGTCGGTTTGAATGGGATTGTGTTCAGAGCGTTGCGTCTCAAAAGTGTTGATCCCCCACAGAGAAAGGTTGCACAAAATAAGGAAAGTAACAAACTCGCGGCCTGGTTTCTTCTTGACCGCTTCCTGTGTAACAGCTTGAAATTCCGAAGCGACGATGATGAAAACCGTCTGGATTATCGACTGGATGATCATCATTAGGTTCGAAGCAATGGAAAGCACGTTGGTCAGACCGCTTTCCTCGTGGAAAATCGCCGCGATGATCCCGAAAATACAAAATATAAACACCCCGGTCAGTGAGATAAGAACGAGGACGTTCTCCAGCACGGAGGCGTGACCAGGGTGATAAGAGAGGCCTCTCATGCGCCAGGCGGCGGAGAGGGTGGCGATCATGCCGAGGAAGTAGATCGCAATTTCAGATAAGTGAACAAGTGTTAAAGCTGTGATGGTCATGTTCTTCTTGTTGACAAGGACATAAAAGGCGACCATTGTAATGACGGCCCCAACGAAGAGAAGGATACCAACAAAAAGACCACGGCTCGAACTGCCACAGTCGACACTCATTCGGTTATTTCGCATTTGCTCCAGACCATCTTTGTCTTTGTTCTTGCGGTCGACGCGTTTCAAGATTGGCTTCGGTCCACGCCCAACTTGCTGCCATAAAACGTACATTATACCTGGAATTAAATATAAGAGAAAATATTTAAAGAAAAAGAAGAAGAAATACGAGGTATGATAAAAACAAGTGTTGGGACTGTTCCTATGTATATAGAATGATGCAACTTGGCACAGGCACACAAAGTTATAACGTTCTCATTCGTTTCTGTTGTTTATAGAAGGGCTTTGGAAGGAAAGTGTGTAGAGTGTGGCCATCTCACCACACCACAACGGTTCCATCAGTATCCATGGTATATGCAGAAGTTTTTGGCCAAAGACAACATTCCACAGGTCCAAAAATCACCATATTCCTCGCTCTTCAAAAATCAAATCCAACTTGAAAGGAGCAAGATTTCAAGACATCGAGACAATCGAAGAGAATGCAACGAGGCAGCCGCTCGCTATCCCGAAAAGAAGTTCCAAGAATGCCTTCATTTTTGGAAATTATACTGAATACTGTTTGGTTTCAGACGGCGACTGTTTCGAATGAGATTAAATGCCGAATTGATATGTGTTGTAGTTTTCTTTCTATAGCATCAGTACGGGTATGATTTGATCAGATCTTGTATAGCATTGCATCATTAATTTTTGACTAGTATTTCTTTCATCCTAATTTTAGTTGCTTCAAACTCGCAATCTATTTTCCTCTTCACCGCTACAGTTGTAACACCTTGAAGTTCCGAAGCGACAATCATTAGCAAAAAAAAAAAAAAAAAAAGGGACAGAAAAAAAAGAAAAAAAAAACAATTAAATGACTAAGACTATACGAGGCCTGATCAAAAAGTATTGGGACTACATCCTTCCTAATTACCTGCACAAATTAGACTGTATTCGATACTACAGGGGTAAAGATAGGGCGCCGCTCGATCCACAACTTTTCCCATCATTTCGTTCCAATAACATTTGACGGCGGGAGATGATAGACCTAGCGAGAGAAAAAATTTTTAAAAAATTTTTAAAAATGACGTAAACATTTATTTGATTGGTTTGGTTTGTTTTACGACATACGAACATCAATGGGTTATTTAATGCCGACAAAATTTTTATTGCTGGTAATATTTAAAAAAAAATATATTGTTGGTTATATTTTTTTAAAAATGTATTGCTAGTAATATTTTTTTTCCTTCAAAAATGTATTGCTGTTATTAAAAGAGACGTTATTAAAACCTATTTTCAAACATTCATAGTGTATTGAACCCAGTTTTTATTGCTGGCATTTTTATTATAAAAATGTATTTTTATACTTTCATAGGATTTTGTTTTTGTTTGAGGGTTTACTATTTGCTCATAGCTGGGACTCTAACAGGTACTTCCACCTTGGGTCAAGGTGAACCTGGGAACACTAGCAATTAAGAGGTGTTTCCAAGTTCCTCAAAACCTCCTGATCAGAGGCATTGCTGTTGGACGTAGTTTATCGTCTTACCCAGGACGCCATTTATTTGATTCTACTTTTAACGCAAAACATATCTACAGAACAATTTTACGTATGTCAGTTGTATAATTCCTATCTTACTTTTTTGTGGGGGGTGAGGATTGATTATTATATTATTTACACACGGGCTATGTCTTCGTCTTTTTTATTATCACAACGTTTCGATCGGGGTTAGATTGTGCTAATTTCATTGACCATGTTTAACGATATCTCGTGTGGGTCTTATTTAGTACTGCTCAGTTTTTTTTTCTGGGATGAAGAGTTATCATTATTTACATTATTTATATTTGAATTTGTTCTGGGTAGCCTACAGGGAATTCTGAACTGAACCCTTTATCTAATCTACGGGGGCAGATTAAACAACAACAAAGATGAGGACAATAAATTTGAATTGAAACAGTATTCGGTTATTTCTCGGTATGTTTCTGCTGAGATCAAGTACACAACTGTCCGGTCCACGGATTGAACTCATGAATTCGCGAACCAATACTTTAACCCACTATGATATTGTTCTGTGGATTCACTTAATCGGTTCGATGAGAAAAGCTGGCAAGCACAAAGTTGTGATATCGACAACAGAGATGCGTACAAAAGTACGCAGGTGTAGGCTTTAAGAAAGATTTATTCAACTGATAATACAAGGTTTGGGGATAGTGTCCTTTTATAGTCCCAGTAAATAGAAATAGCTCTCTCAAAGAGGAGAGCAACGAAACAAGGGGAGACCACTCTTGATTATTTATGAGAAATAGTTTCGTTTTTTATGTTAGTTTAAAGAATGACGATTTTGTTAAAAATAGTAAGTGATTTTGGAAATTAGTTTTAGTGATCTCCCTGATAAATAATACGAGATTCATTTTTTTAAAGTGGCGTTCACCTTGTTCAAGGCTCGGGAGGTACTCGAGTTAGAGGGTTAGAGTAAGAGGCACAGCTTATGCGGATATGTGTGGAAGATAACAGTTAACCCTAGTCTTGAAAAGGATAAGATTGTAGTGATCGGGTAGCCCCTTGGAAGTCATTTCCACAAGGCAGAGGTTCGTATGATGAAGGTGTTTTAGTAGAACGTACATCTCAACAGGGGAATAGGAAGGGGATGAAAATGGTTAGCTACAATGTTTGTGGCATAGCAGGTCTTAGCAGTGGAGGCTAAGACTGTTGGAATTAAAGAATGTAGTTCATCTGACCGCTCACCATGGAAATAGCGATAGAATAGGGAGAGGCTTGCGACGTTTTGTCTGTGAGAAAGTGGTTACAGAGTAGCGAATAATTCGTAGCCTACAAAGAGACGGAGACACTTTGGGACTCTACCAAGAGTGGAAAGTGAACACAAGGAAGCTCTCGTCCATATATGGCAGCAGTACAAAGAGGCGGAGACACTTTGGGACTCTGCTAAGAGTGGAAATTGAACACAGGGAAGCTCTCGTCCATATATGGCAGCAGTACTCCATTTTAGGCCTGATCTGGCGCTTGTAAAGGTTGAGGATAGCTGAAGCGATACAGAAAACAGACCATTTTCCAAGCATTTATTTATCAGATAACTGTCTTTATTCGCTCACCGGAAGAGACTAAGGAATTAAGTCGTGGAAAAGAATCGTGGGTAATATCGATTGTAAGAGTTTTAGAATTACTGCATTTTACGATGTTTGAGAAAGGCGCCACGCTGTAAAAATAATCTTACTACTATAGTGAGTTGGATTCTCCAAGTGTGAGTGCTCTAAGTGTGAGGGAAAATTGGCTGTCATCAAAGAGGTGGAGTAAAAATTTAAATCTCAACGGATGTTACTTTTTCATTTCTGATTTATGCTGCTAATTTAATGGTTGTAGAGGGTAAACCCGACCTGAAAGTTCCACTACAATTTGAACTTCTTCGAGTTTAGCCTTAACCGTTATCTTCCACATATATCCTCATAAACTGCGCCCCTTACTCTTACCACGCACACAGCATCCTCTAACCTGAGCGGCTCTTGGATCTTCAATACGGGGAATATTAGTAAAAAAAAGGGGAAAAAAAGAGGAAAAATGAATGATGAACATCACACAATTTAAAACTCTGCTCTCTCTCTCCCCTTTCCCACTCACTTTGTTTCTCTACTATTTCTTTTTCCCAACTCTCTGTCTCCTCTTCCCACTACTCACCATGTCTCCCTCACCTCTCTCTGTCACTCTTTACTTTCCGTTTTCTCCGCTGTCTTTGTCTCCACCCGTTTCCCTCTCTCATTCACCCTCTTTCTCCTTCTACTCTCCCTCTCACTGTCTTTCTACCCCTCTCCTCACCTCTCCCCTCTCTCTGCCTCTTCCTTCTTTTCCTGGTTCTCTCTCCTGTCTCTGTCTTCTCCCTTTCTCTGTGTCCCTCTAGTCTCTCTCTCCCCTCTCATTTTTGTCTTTCTCTGTCACCTTCTCTTCTTCTCCGTCTCCCTCTACTATTTCTGGTTAGCTACTTTGTCTCCCTTCTTTGCTTACTCTGTCACTCTATTATCTTTCTCTCTGTCTTCTTCTACTCTTTTTACATCCCTTTCTCTCTCTCTCTCTCTCTTCCTTTCCCCACTCTATATTTGTGTTTGGTAATAAATAAATGTTAACACTGACCAGGTATCTGTTTATGCGTAATGTTTTCTTCCGACATATTGCCGTAAGTGTGAGAAACATTGTAAGAAGCGTTCTTGGCATCGTGCCCACTAGGGAGGTGGTGGTCGTTCGAGTGGTGATTATTGCCATGATTCTCCAGGGAACTCCCATGGTGCATTTCGTGAAGCGTCTCTACGACGATGTTGCGAAACCAGACGCAAATGTTGGTGCCGCACATGTGCATCAAGCCGAAACGGGCGAAGGTCTTATAGCGATGAATGCACACCTAAATATCGAAGAGAAAAGTCAAAAGTCATTTGATAAGAAACCGTAGAAATACATCGACACAATTGATTACTCAACATCAAGATGTATCCAGAGAAAATATGTTCAAAATTTTACTTCGAATTGTTAGTGCCATAATCATATAGATTCCGACTTTAGTATTTTCAGCCGCCTCGCGCCGCCTTAGGGTGCCTCAGTGTGCCTCAATGGTATAATGGGCGGGTATATAATGAGCTTACGGCCATATCACGTTGAAACACGGATTTTCGTACGATCCCGAAAGTTAAGCAACGTCGAGCTTGGTCAGTATCTAGATGAGTAACCGCCTGGGAATACCAAGTGTAGTAAGCTTGGTTGTGCGGGTGGTATAATGTGGTTACGGCCATATCACGTTGAAACACGGATTTTCGTACGATCTCGAAAGTTAACCAACGTCGAGCTTGATCAGTATCTAGATGGGTAACCGCCTGGGAATACCAAATGCAATAAGCTTGGATGTGCGGGTGGTATAATGTGGTTACGGCCATATTATTGACCAAAACGTTTTTCCACGACGCTTGCTATTTTAACATCACCATACGTCGCATTCTCTCTCTTTGAAATCAATGTTATAAATGTAACCTTGGAATAAAAGAAGTCTATCACCTCGTTGACTTTTTTCTGAAAATAAGATATTCATTGACTTTAAGGGACAAATATTTTTCGGCAAGTAGTGATGAATATATATATATATATATATATATATAATTTGCATGCAAATTATTGTAATCGTCCTTGTTGGTATTATCAAAAAGTTTTAGCCGTTGTGTTTTCCAACCTTCCACAGGTGTTTGTCGTTCCGGGTAGCCTTCAACGAATTTCCAATCGAACACTTTATTTATTCTACGGGGATAGACAAGCAACTGTTGAAGATCCGAGGGTACAACGGTCGAATAGTTGTGAAAGTAACATTAAAAATGAGAACAATAGTCCACATGTAAATTGTGATAACTACTTCACCCAGAAATTTAGATGGACATATATATATATATATATATATATATATATATATATATATATATATATTATAAGAGTTCTCAAATTTAGATGGACATACATATATATATATATATATATATATACAAGTATATGATTGGTGCATACGGAATAAATTCCAATAACCGACAATTACTATTCTTAAAAGAGTGGTCAAATTTTTTTAAATTATATATATATATATATATATATATATATATATATATATATATATATATATATAGAGAGAGAGAGAGAGAGAGAGAGAGAGGAGGAGGCACGGTGGAGTAATGCATAGCGGCTTGAATTGAAGAATCCTAGAGCCGAGTTCGAATTCCAGTCGATTTCATTACATTCACTTACCCTTAGGTATACCCTAATACCCCCTCCAGCTATGGGTAAATAGCAGGGCAGACTGGGTTCTATCGCCTTGGATGGCAACTGGTCTAGGAGAAGGACAACTCTGAATTCAAACCCGGAGTGGAGCCCCTAAGGCGGATGGACGGCACTTTGTGCAACCGCGCTGGTACCAAACTGTATTGGTTTATCTTCTCCTTTGGACTCTGCTAGCAAGGCCGAGAGGGGGAACTAGACGTCCGGGCAGTCCTATTTCTCCAGGCTCGTAGCGCTCTCGAGACGGACGGATGACAACAACAACGATATATATGTTTACGGTGACGACCACTTTATATCTACACCTCTATACCTAATACTGAGCAATTTGCCCCATAAATATCTTTCTTTTTATGTGCCATGTCCTTTCAGGATGTAGCCGATAATGGCTCTCCACCTCCTTCTATCTCTTGCGGCTCTCCCATATCACGTTCTGTCATCCACTTGCTTAAGCCCGCCAGGTATGTCACACGCTGTTTTCCCTTGTATCTCTTTCCCTCTATTCGACCCGTGAGTATCAGATTCACCAGGCCCTCCTTCCTCATTATGTGTCCCAGAGACTTCAGCTGCCTTTTCCTGATGTAACGTATAAGCCTCTTCCTTGTTTGCATCCTCTCTAAGAGCTTATCGTTGCTCACACGCTCGGTCCATGATATACTTAGTATCCTTCGGTAGAACTACATCTCGAGTCTCTTCTTCATCTTTGTGGAAATCGTCCAATACTCGCTACCGTAAAGGAGGACAGATGTCACGTAACAGCTCAGTATTCTTTTCTTTGTTACCAAAAAATCCTCCTGTTTCGCAATACTTTGCTCAGCTTTTGGAATGCGTCCTTGGCCATCCCAATACTTCTACAGATCTCAGTGTCGCACTTACCGTCCTCTGTCAAAACGCTTCCCAGATATTTAAACTTCCTATTGCTGATGACCATGCATTCCGTCTTCTTGTAGTTTATGCTTAGACCTTTCTTCTTACTCTCCGTCGCCACCTTCTGTAGGAGATTTTGTAATTTCATTTCTGGGTCTGCTATCAGTACTATGTCATCTGCGTATCTCATATTGTTAAGATTGTGGCAGCCAATGGTAAATCCCGGTAGGGTTTCCAATTCTCTCAGAATTGCCTCACTGCTTTGGATAAGCAGTTCGGGTGAGAAGACGCATCCTTGCCTTACACCCCTTTCTATTTTTGTATATTCACTGAACTCGTTCCCTATGCGCATATATGCTGTTTGTTGCCAGTATAGCTTCTTGGTTATTCTGATATCTTTCCGGAATATATCAAGGTTGCTGAGCAGTTCCATCAGATCTTTGTGGCGTACATTACCGAACGCCTTTGCATAGTCTATATTGTGGTACGATCCACCTAATTTACATAGTGGAGTACCGACCATATAAATATGGTTGGTACCGGGAAGACGGGGGGAGGAAGAAGAGATCCAATCCAGAGACTCTGCCTGACTGCGACTAAGTCAACCCATTCTACAGGAACGGTCTTCCCAAGAATATACCAAACTCTCTGTAAATATTGTGTTCACTTTCTTTGTTCAATACATTTTGTTTCAGTACATTTTGTGTTGTATTATTATTATTATTCCATGCTTTATTCAAGTTTCAACAGTCTATGAAACACAGATACACATTCTTCTGCATTTGTATTGCTTTTTCTGATAACATTCTGAGCATGAATATCACGTTCCTTGTTCCTCTGTCTTTAACGAACCCGTACTGTTCTTGTCCTATCTCTGGTGTGATAAAGCTGCGCGCTCTATTCATCAGAATACGGATAATTAGTTTTTTCACGTGGCTCATTAGGCTTGTTCGGTGGAGTTCGCATTCGTTTGCGTCTGGTTTCTTAGGCATAGCTATGAAGATAGATCTGATGAGATCTTCCGGCATATCCCCGCTGTTGTAGATATCATTTGTTATTTCAGTGATCTTGTCTATGCCAAAGTCAACTAAGGCTGTCAGTATTTCCGTTACAATTCCGTCTGGCCCAGCTGCTTTGTTTCTGTTCAATTTGGCCAGTGCGGCTTTTACATCGGTTTTCAGAATTCCAGATCCGTCGGTAGTTCTGTGTATTGCTGGTTGTTCCCTTACATCGTGGAAGAGTTCTCCAGCGTTGAAGAATTTTTTCCTTCTCTAATATGAGCGTTCCATTCTTTCATTTTAGGCAGTCTGTTGACGAGCATGTCTTTTGTCCTGCTAGTTGTCTTATTTATTTGTGCATGTCTCTTTTGTTGGGAGTAATCAATCTTTCTATTTCAGCACCTTTTTCGTTTAGCCATTCTTCTTTTGCTTGCCTGTATTTGGTTCTTATTTCATTGTGTAATTTTCTGTACTCCGTTCCGTATCTTGGCAAGGTTTTCTCTCTACTTTCATTATGTCGGGAATTTCATCAGTCACCTATTCGTTTTTTCGTAATCATCCTGTCTGTTTTGTGATGATATAGTTTGCTGATGTCACTATAGCATACAATTAAACCTATCGTAATCACACGCACACACGCATACACACATATACATGCATACATACATACATATATATATATATATATATATATATATATATATATATATATATATATATAATACACAAAAGGTTAATGGTGAATCAGGCCAGGAAACAGTAGTATTAGAAAGTGCTCAACACACGTGAAAAAAAATAAAATAAAAGTAAAAATAACATGTAGATCTTTTAACTTTAAAAATCAGGAGCTTTGTTGAACTCGCTACTTCGGTTTCAACCTTGCAGTATCCAGCCTCATATGTGCTTATAAAAAATGTACATTTCAATTAACCCCCAACGATACTACTAATACTACTACTATTATTATTATTATTATTATTATTATTATTCTCTCTTACTATTACCCCCAGCATCATGCGTCTGTTTATTTATTTTTTTCAAAAATAATATAGCGTTCATTATTTTCTTTTTTTAAATAAAGCGTTAAGAGGCTATTTGATAAAAATCGCCTGAGGATATCGTAAGGTTGAAACCAAAGTAGAGGATTCAACTGATTTGATTTTTTAAGTTATATATATATATATATATATATATATATATATATATATATATATATATTGTTGTATATTTTGGCAGCATTGAATAATTAGACAATTTTTGTCTACTTATTTTCAGCAGAATCCTTCACGGACAAGTTTCTTAGTATCCTTATTAAAGGAAGAGAGAAAATTACCATGCTGACACATATTCATTTATCCCGAGTACTTTCGAAATCAGCACAATGTCATCATCAAGGTGTTGTTTTTTCTAAGACGAAAATTATTGTGTTCATTTTTCTAAGACAAAATTGTTCTGTTCATCTGCGAGTTAAGTTTTTTAACATGTGAAGTGAAAAACGCTATGCTCATCTACTGTACGATTAAAGTTTCACGATGTAAACACCAGAGGAGGTAACTAAGTTATAAAATATATATTAAAAACAGCGTAAATTTATGTTACCGGCTTGAGCATTCTTAATACAACATTGTGCCTTTTGGAATGCTTCAAACCTTTTATAAAAAGGTTTTGGCGAGAAGGCTACAAACGAGTTACTGTCCAATCTTGAGTGGTCAGTTTACATTCTAGTGGGCGTCAGAAAGGACTCCGTAATTTACTTGATGCAATACATATATAAAGCAAACAAGAGAGAAGGATGACTGAAAAATATCATAAAAATAAGAAAGAAATTAGGTAAAAAATGTCAGCAAATGGCAATAATGCCTTATTATAGGTTATAAGTGTACGAATAACGTTCCACTTTACCTTTGGATTGAGGAAAACGAAATAAAGTTGTGAGAAAGTGAAGATCAAATGGAAAAGAGGCTTGACGGCTTGGATACGTGAATCGCAATGGGTATTGCCCCCAATTCCTTGAAAATGCATACCAAGTTGAAGACCACTGTGAATCATTCCACCGATTCCAAATCCTGCAAAGAAAATAATAATAATAATAATAATAATAATAATAATAATAATAATTTGGAGGTCCATGCCTCAGAGAGACACAAAAAATTGTTCTGACAAGTACAGCCCACACTTTACGAATGGCTTTATTCATGTAATTTTTTTTTTTTTTTTTTGTCAGTGGAAAGTGTCATGATGCCATTTCTAACCTTAGGTCACTGGGCGGGACCAGGAAAGAAATGTATAAACGCCAGGAAAGAAATGTATAAACGCCAGAAATGAAAAAAAAAAAATAATAATAATAATAATAAAATTGTTCTCAAGAGTACAGCCCACACATTACGAAGAGCTTTATCTATGTAAAATATGTGTGATCTTGGGTGTTTTGTCCTCACAAGTACAGTTCACACATTACAAAGAGTAAAATGTGTGTGATCTTTGTTTTTTTCCTCAAAAATGCTTAGTGGAAAATGTCCTGATGCCATTTCTAACCTTAGGTCTTTGATTGGGACCAGGAAAGAAATAAGTATACATCAGAAATCAAGAAAAATAAAATAAAATAATAATTATAATTATAATTATTATAATTATTATTATTATTATTATTATTATTATTATCATTTTTAATACACAGAAGAGAAGGCTAAATGTTTCACTAATGCGTGGATTGTCTGATTGAATGGCTTGTCTTTTACGACTTATCAACCCTTTGCAGTTTATTTAAAGTCAGAGAATATTTTATATTTTAAGAATTTTTAGAGATAATACTGATTTACTGATAATTCAATAATTAACGTTAATGGTTGACCACTCGTATTCAAGGATTCTCGTCTACTAGGGCGGCTAGATGCTTGCTCAGGTGCATTTTGTGTTTGTTCAACATCCACAGAGCCCATCTGCGGTTCATACTGCAATTATGCTGAGAAAACTTTAATTACAGTTTCTGATGGGGAAGCGCGTTACCTAGCGTGACCAACAATCTGAACAAGGCCAGCACACTCATAGTCCTCGGTCACGATGACTTGTGACTTCGTGCTAGCACAGCCATCAACTTCTCCCAAGTGTTCCATCTATCCAATTTCAATCACAAGTCTTGGGTCAAGTGCTTCGGGTGCTTTCCACAGGTGCTACACGCTGGAGTCGCCTCCCCCAGACCGGTAACATCAAGAAGTCACCTTCCTGACAAATCAACCGTGGTTAGTTTCACACCCAGGTCTCATGTTCAGAAAGCGAACGTTCTAACCACGTGTCCAATATTTACTGATACAAGCTTTACTAATTAACCCATAGCTGGGGAGAAAAGGTGGATTAATACCTTTCTAAACGGTGTTTGCGCGTAAGTAAAGATAACAAACCCGACTGGAATTGGAACTCGGCATTCTTCCATGTAACACGCGCTTTTTCAGCTTTCGGTGCACACCGACGAGATCAAGGATTAAAATGCAATGTGGTGTAATCATTGGCCGATCCGTGGAAAGCTTGGGGAAGCCTCTGATGAAAGCCGGAAGGCGCAAAAGTAACAACAAAGATGCGGACAATAGACCGTGTGTAAATAACCCGGGAATTCAGAAAGTGAGAGTAAATAAAAGCTTACCTACAGCTCCGAGCCGCAGGTAAAAGCTACCATTTGGGTTGTGCGGTCCTAAGTCAGTGGTGATTTTTCGTCGATACCAACTGTCGGTGCGTTGGGCATTTTCTTTATCGGATCTGCTCGTAAAAGACCACGAACGGGTAAAAGTGCGCGACCATGTACGATTCAGGGCGAACTTGAAACTGGCAGATTTCTTGTTGCGCCTCAAGAGGAAAGTGTAAACATACAAGATGAAGAGACCACTGCACGTAAACAGATAGATGTAAAAAGCCTAGTTTAAAAAAAAAAAAGAAAAAAAGATAATGATCTTTTAGTGAGAAACAGAAGTGACATCATCAGACTGTCGTGTCCATAAAAAATACATAAATAAAAAAAAATAATTATACTCTCCATGCGTCATATTTATAAAAAATAAAAATCAATTATAGTCTCAAAAATAATTATAAAAAATAATTATAACGATTATAATTATCCTTAATTCACTCATTCTAAACCAATAAAAATCGACCACACTTTTCTCCTCTACATGCACAAACACGTGATATTCTCACTCTCGGACAAGCAATCAACACGGACAGGCCGTCAACACCTGCGTCAACGAAAATTTTGTATCCTTTTTCTTTTTTCAGGCCATAATAGTAACATTTATCTCTTAACATTCCACAAAAATTCGAGGTAAGAAAACCCCAGACACTTCTTGCATTTTCCAACTAAATTATCTGGATTCTCATTACACACATCTATAAAAAAAGAAAAAGAAAAAAAATAACATACGAGAAAGATGGCATACACTTTACTAATTCTTTATCTTGTCATTCTGTCGGATTCCAGTCCATATTCAATCTACATTTAACCGCAAACTCATAATTTTACTCAGTATTACTGTATCTCGTATATATGTAAGGAATTTTTATAATTATTTACTAAAAGTTATATCCCACCACAAGGCGCACACGTATAAACTATAAAAATAGTTTAATGGACAAAGTCCGACAATTATTTTTAAGACATTTTTTTATGTTTATACATTCTTTTTAGAGATACAAATATTTAAGTAAATGCTCTGTTTATAATAAACAGTATTAATGACATTTACCGGCCTGAATGTCCAAGAAATTTTCAAAGAAAATATGCGCCCTACAACAACAATCAAACCCATATCCTATACGGGACCGTCATATAGCCTAACATGCTTTTACCGATTGAGCCACAAAGTCCAACAATTATTTTAAGACGTTTTTTATGTTTATACGTTCTTTTTATAGATACAAATATTTAAGCTCCTCTGTGGTTCAATCGGTTAAAGGCACGTCAGGCTATATGACGGTTCCGTATAGGATACAGGTTCGATTCCTGTCGGAGGACGAATATTTTCTATGAAAATTTCTCGGACATTTAGGCCTGTAAATGTTGTTAATACTGTTTATTATAAACAGAGTATTTACTTAAATATTTGTATCTATAAAAAGAACGTATAAATATAAAAAATATCTTAAAAATAATTGTCGGACTTTGTCCATTTCATAATGTGTGACGTCATTTGTTTACATTTGGATACGTATCGAGCAGATATGAATGTATGAGAGAAAATCATAGAAAATTGTAGTTTAAAAAGTGTAAAATCGACCTTGCTAACATAAACGTGAAAATAGGCTTATTTTGACCGACTAAATTGTCAGTCTTATTCAACCTCGTATAGACTGAGTTCGTGTCGGAATTAGAAATTTAACTGTGACAGCTACAAAAAAAAAAAAGAAAAAAAAAAGAAACCGTCGAATTTATCTAATTTAATGTTTCAGTCAGATGAAAGGCACGAATCTGGTCAGGAGAGGGTAGAAGGTATTAATCTTAAAGAGAAGAGGTTTTTTAAAAATATGACTTAATTTTGGATTTTATTATGCACTATTTATTTTTAGCTCAATGAATGCGTTATTCATGCATGAATCTATGCTTATAGGAATCTTTTTTCCTTTTTTCCAAACACGGTCAGCATTTTGTGGCCGTGTTCATAGTTGATGTTATTGAGTATTGGCTTTTTCATTTTTATTATTAGTGCTTCCATTCCATTTTAGTATTTTTTACGTGAGAATGAGGCTATTATACTTGCATTTTCTACAAGTATGTTGCGGATGGAGTTTGATAGGTTCTGGGTGTGTTTAAATGAATTCTAATTGTGCTGAGAGATCTAACGTGAGTCTTCTTGATAGGCATGTGGTTGTATGTCCAATATAATTATTCATGAATTTGGTTTGATTCAGAACTCGGTTCCTTAAGGGGCCTGTAAATTCATAAATAATATTTTTTTTTGGGGGGGGGGGGTAAGCGTTTCCCCCCAAGCAAGGCGGGAAGCCACTAGGACGCAAGGGGTTACAAAAGATTTGGAGCAAGATCAGATAGGAGTGATAGAAGAAAGGATGAGGAGAAGAGTAGTGGATAGATCAAGGCAACTGGAGATGTCGATTGACATTATATTTGAATAGCTGGAGATTATAGTTCTCAGGGAAACTGGAATAGGGAAGGGAGTTCCACAGGCGAGAGGTGCGAGACATGAAGCTATTGGAGTAGAAGAGACGGCTACATTTAGGAGTTTCGACAGTGATGGGGTGAGAGCGGGATGCCAGCCTCGTCGAGCGCTTGAACTCATGAAGTCTGGGAACCAGAGAATGCAGCTCCTCGGAGCAATTGCCATGAAAGTATTTGTAAAACAGACAGAGAGAGGCGACGGCGCGTCTGTGAGAAAGTGACTGTGATTTAGATCTTGTAGTTGGATTGTTATGTTGATGATAAGATTAGCTGTCATATGAATTTGGATCTTACCTTGCTTAAAATATTTTTACAAATACATACGGACCTACGCTAAAATACTCTGAGATTCATTCATTATTTACCATTTGTAAGACGGTTCTTTCGGATAAAAGGTTTCTTTAGTATGCCTAACTACTTCAGCACAAAATAATAGTTTGCGAGATCAGCTTGCTAGTCACTGATCTATGGCAAGGATCACAAGATTTGTAAAATATTTACGTCAAAGAAATTCGGTGTTTCCATTTCAGCAAATGTTTCAGATATTGGTATGACAGCTCCCAAGACCACGATCAACAAACCGTACATTCCGCTTAAGATGATAAAAAAACAGTCCCTGTGAAAAATAAAAAAAATAAATTGGAGGCTAATTTCGTGTTACGCAATCAGTTGTCTGAAATTCTAAATAGCGAAAAACTTCAAAATCCGGAATATTTTTTTTTCTCTGGAAAAAAAAAAAATTATTTTAATGAAAACAAAACAATAACATCTCTAGGGCAATAGTTCCCTTCAAAATCTCAGTAGAACTCCAGACATTTATCCCAGCACGTCTTTCACTTTTCGAAACTGTCTTCAAAGTTTGTTTTTTTTTGGGGGGGGGAATGCCATCAACTGCAAGTCATGTCCTCGTTAATCTCGTACATGGAGTTTCAACTTCGATTTTTACCTTTTCGAAAAGTCACAGGAGGTCAAAGCTAGACTGTAGATGTTAATCGTGCTCACATTATAAAATCTTTCAATTTTAGCTATGGGAAGAACCAAAAGTTGAAGTAACCAAATCTTGACTATAGGTATTATCTGTCTATATCTCTGAGATGAGGTATTATGATTACTTGCATTATTTATATTATTCTGACTTTTATCCTCATCTTCATTGTCATATTCATAACTAGAACAATCTACCCCGGCGAACGAGATAAAGAGTTCGGTTCGAAATTCCAATCACCTGAAGAAGGCCGGAACGTACAACGGCAGAAACATTGTGGATATGGCAATGAACATGAGGATAACAGTTCGAATAATGTAAATAAGGCAAGTAATCATAATACCTCATCTCAGAGATAGACAGATATTGAATAAAGATTCCAATCACCTGAAGAAGGCCGGAGCGTACAACGGCCGGAACGTTGTGGAAATGGCAATGAAGATGAGGATAATAGTTCGAATAATGTAAATAATGTATGGATTATGATGGCAATTATTCGTGATACAATGTTTTGAGAAAAAAAAAACTAAAAACCAATTGAACGAGATGTGAAGAATTTTCTCACTTGGACATTGTGAATACATTGATCTCGCAACACACAACTTTACACGTGACGTGTCACTGCTCACGGAGAAAACCTACAGAAGAATTTCTACATATGCAAAGTATAGTGCCCGCTGATAGCGTGCCAAATTTCATCAAGGACACGCGGACAATAATCGAGTTATTTAATATTGTTGGATGCGTCCCGGTATAGATTTCTTAGCATATAATAAAGACTTATTAATTCACGAAAATGATTAATATCTTAAATAAATATTTTCTTTTTAGAAAATCTGTTATTTCTAATAATGATTTTCCAACTTACTTTAGAGATTTATCACTTTCGACTTCCTTTTTCTCCTTCGTCGTTTCCTGCGATTGCTTTCGGGCCTTTCGGTTAACAAGACTGCGTTTCAAGATTGGCGCAACATTACCCAACTCTACCAAAAGAGAAAATAACAAACATATGACGGCGGAAAAAGATTATACAAAATGACCTCCAAATGTTGAATCGTGTTTTATGGAACATGTAAAGCTCAAAGTTTGTGTATGTATTCGCTTGAAAGCCTGAAAAATAAATATAAATTTTGTCGATATGTGCGAATGCAAATATCTTAATATATATATATATATATATATATATATATATATATATATATATATATATATATATATATAAAGTTTTAATATGTCAATTCGTTAGGCCGACAGTCTGACGATTGCTAGCATGAAACAGACTGTCGCCCTAAGTGTTGACTTTATGTTCACTTTTATATTTACACACGCTCTATCTCTGATATTGAGCACTTCATCCCATAAATATAGCACACCTTAAGACTATATTTTCATATATATATATATATATATATATATATATATATAGATAGATAGATAGATAGATAGATAGATAGATAGATAGATAGATAATATTAGTGGTAAATATACACATACGTATGCAAAATATATAAATATATATATATACATACATGCATACACATACATATGTATTTTTTTGAATAAAAAAATTCCAAGAGGATAGAATCCAGGTAGAACTCAATGTCCAGGACAGAGTAAGGATATAATAAAAAGGCTTAAACACTAATATTCCATGGTCATAATTTATTCCATTGGAATCGTAAATACGATCCAATTCATCAGACCTACAAATGCAAAGAGAAAACAGAAAAAAACAACTCCGGAAATAAAAAATAGAATTTAGAGATAATAAAGCTAACAAATCCGTTGGTATATAATCCAAGTGGATTCTACTAATATAAAATATTAAAACTGAATAGAGCTTGGTGTATTTATTAAAACAGACCAATATAGAACAAAAAGAAAAAAACAATGTATATCAATAAAAACAATTGTTTTGTTTATTAATTATCAATTATGTTTATTAATTATCAATTTATTTTATCAATTAAAACAATAGTTTTGTTTATTAATTTTATATATATACATATATATATATATGTATGTAATAACTTTAATAATTATATATATAATAATAATTATATGAATATATAATAATATATATAATAATTATAATAATTATATATATATAATATATAATATAATAATTATAATAATTATATATATATAATATATAATATAATAATTATAATAATTATATATATAATATAATAATTACATATATATATAAATATATACATATAATAATTATAAATATAATATAATAATTACTTATATATAAAATATATACATATAATAATTATATATATAATAATATATAATATAATAATTATAATTATTTATATGCAATAATTATATATAATTATATATATATATATATATATATATATATATATATATACATATATATATATATATATATATATATATATATATATATATATATATATATAGAGAGAGAGAGAGAGAGAGAGAGAGAGATCGTTATTCTGAGGCATCAAATAAATGTAGTTTGCTATTTTCCCGTACAACCACTCGAATGAAATATGTCACAAGTCTGCGTTTAAAGTGGAAGTATTAGCGTATACAGGACTAAGGATAAAAAAAACTGCTCAGTTCCATGAACTCTTCCCTTTTGAGGACGCCTCACTGTCAGAGAAAAGTATAGAAAATGCAAAAAATATTCGTTGTTTGCAGGAATGTCTATATCTTGTCTAGGAATGTGACCCAATTTATTCCCAATTAGTCTCCTGTTTTTATAATTTCTTTTCATATCTAATTTCAATTTTTTTCGAGTACCATATGTTGAAATATCTTTTTCAATACTCAAAACTTCTTTTTCGCCCACCAATATTTCTAATCGTTCACCATTTTCTGTTTAGTTGCTCATCGCCCACCCAACAGTTGAAACCGCCCACTGGTGGCGATATCGCCCAGGTTGGGATACCCTGATCTAGGGTTAATGTAAGAATATGGCAGAGCGTAGTTCGATTCCCGATAACGCCACGGTGAGAAAAGTAAAGACGAATCCTGATTTTAATATACTGGATGCTCTATTCATGAAATCACCTGGTGTTGAGGGTAGGTAAGTGACATTTGGGACATCTTTGTTGGTACTTCTCTAGTCTCTCGCAACAGACTAACAGACCAGACCTGTCTTTCGGCTAGTGAGAACATCGACTGCCACCTGCCGATCTCTGACAGTGACTCTGCTTCTCACAGCTCTCTCTACATCTTATGACTGAATAGAATATGCGTCCTGACTGTATGAACCTACGAGCGGAATTCCCTACCTTCCGATTTGTTTTGATTTGTTTCTTTAACGGTACATCAACACCTTATGGGTCACCTAATGCTGAAATTTAATTTTCTTGGAAGCTTTGAAGTAATAAAAATATGATATATGTTATTCTGTTTTCACAAATGAGTATATGGTAGATGATACTCAGCTTTAGTGTATTTTTACATGTTTGTGTGGACATAATTACTAGAAGTGGTGATACGTGTTTTTTATGTTGTAGTTTTGTTGAAGTTATATTTTGGAATAAATTTTGATTCTTTAAAAAAATGTAGTATATTATATGGATTAATGTCATCAAAGAGTTCCTTCATGTTGATTGATGTATTGTTGGTAATATTACTATAAATAGGTATTGTTGTTATCTTATATACCGTGTGTAATAGCAAAATTGTCCTAATCGTGTAGCAGCAAAATTGCCCAATTGTTAGATTAAGATTTAAATCGTTGTATCCTAGAAATGATTAACGATATCTTACTGGAATTTTCTGAGGTTTTTATACCACTATTTTTTCCATGTGAAATTGGGTGATGACGTAAAAAATGTTGGGAACCCCTGCCCTAGATCTTTCCTTGAAGGAAGGCGGGTCAGATCTTGGTGTTGAACTTAATAAGGACAGAATAAAAATGAAATTATTAGCTTTTGTTTTATATCTTGACTAACTTATTTGTTCTTGCTTCATGAAGATAACTAATTTGCATATTCAGTATTGTAATTCAAAATTTAAAAAAAAACTTCGAATACAATTTGGGAACCAGTAATAAGGAGTGCCAGAGAAAAGCGATAATAACAAAAATTGCAATATGAACTCTAGTAAAAACATGTAATGATAACAGCAAAAATTGCAATATGAGCACTGGTAAAAAATGGTTGCTGAAGACATTAGGTTTTATTAGGTTTATAATACCCAGAAATTCATACACAGATGTCCTCAAGGACACATGGCACATGGCGTTAGTTAGATCCAGTGACAGGACCCAAAGAGTGTGAGTTCAATACCCGGCTAAGGCAGAGGAGATAACTGATAACTGACATCCATTAAAACATGGCACGTGGAACTAGAACATTCTTCCCCAGTGAGCGAAATAAAGGGCTCAATTCGACATTCCACCTACATGAAGAAGGCCGGAGCGTACAACGGCCGAAACGTTGTAATAAATATGGCGACAAAAATGAGGACAATAGTCTGAATAATGTAAATAATATACATAATACCTCGTCTCAGAAATATAGACAGAAACTGAAAAAAAAACTTTTGTTATTCATTTCCTGATGTGTGCGGAAGCCTAGTAATTATGAGGTGAGGAATCTAAAACACGCGCTCTTGAGGCGTGTTCCGTATCAGCTGGGAAAACGGATTCCGCCGCTATAAACAGTCACGATGTGATATGACACATCACTGCATTTACACGTTCACATTTCCAGTACAACTTGTTTTTGTCGAAAAGCGGTTATTTTATTAATTTCAGCTAAGAGCTAGAAAAAGACACCATGAAGTTATGAGCTGGTAAAATATGTTGGCATTTCTGGAACACACTTTATTTATAGTCAACTGTGTCACTTAAAATATTTCAACCTGAATTGAAAATTGATTGTGTGATTCCCGCCTTCTAGGGAACAGTGACGCGTCAAGGTATCTAGCAACAGCGTACAGTACGTAAGAAAACCGGGATACTTATCTTCTGTAAAGGTTATTTAAAGCCAGAAAATATTTTTAGATTGTAAGAATTTTTTTTTTTTTTTTTGAGATAATAATGATTTAGTGACACTATTAGGGTTAAATAAATAATATGTTTGTCCGATAAATTCGTATAGTGCTAAACTGATAAGTCATATAATAGTCACTGAATGCTCGACAGTCTCCTTAATTGTGATTTTGATTTATTCATTTTTTACGGTTTATCAACACTTTGCAGGTTATTTAAAGCCAGAAAATATTTTATACATTGTAAGAATTTTTTTAGATAATAATATTTTAGTGATACAAATTTTACTAATTAATCCATAGCTGGGGGAGAAGAAGTAAATTCATGCTTTTCCCAAGACTATTTGCACGTAGGTGAATATAACGAATCCAACCGGAATTGGAACTCGGCTCTCCGATTAACAATTCCAAGCCATTATCCATTACACTCGGCTTACAGCATCTGGTATTCCCAAGTGGTCACCCATCTTGGTACTGACTAGGCTCGTCGTTGCTTAACATCTGTGATGGTATGGGAACCGGTGTTTCAACGAGATATGGCCGTAAGTCAAGTCAAGTCAAGCCATAACTGTGATCATCATTTAAAACTGTTGATTGCAATTTCTAGCGTCTTGTCTGCTACCTTATCTATTAGATCAATTTGCACCTTCCAATAATATACAGGGTGCGGCAAAAATATATACCACATATACCACTCATAAATACCTCCCACATAATGGTAAGGTTTAGTGGCAATGGTGTCTTCGTCTAGCTAATGTCTTACCATTATGTGGGAGGTATTTCTAATAGGTATTTCTACCGCACCCTGTATATTACTGGTATCTTCCATTTTAGCGTTCAGATTGATTTTGCATATCAAATACTGAAATGTCTTTCTTATACTGTTTCCCACAGAGGGGGAATATCATCTTGTGATATTATGGAGTCCTCCATACTTGCCTGTCACCCACTACGGGAAGATGCACTCTTCCCCAAATTAACCTTTAGCCGAAAGTGTGGAGCTCCCAGTGAGGATCAGACTCACTATTCAGTTGTAATTGAATCAGCGAGAGAAGCTCGCTAACCATGACACCACGTCGAAGTGCTATGATTTACTAAGCGTAGCTTAGATATGGCACAAGGCCGAAAGTATAGAGCACCCAGTGAGGATCGAACTCACTTCCCTATCCTTTGTAGCTTTTAATAAATTTTGTCTTTTTGTTATCTCTCCTAAATCTTGCTTTGCTATCCATTTACTCAAGCTCGCTAGGTTTGTTATGCGTAGTTTTTACTCTGTATCTCTTGCCTTCAATTTATCATGTGAGTATCAAATTTTCCAAGCCCTCTTTCCTCATTATGCGCCAAAGAAATATCAGCTGTCTCTTTCTGATGTTAATTTTGTGTTATTTTTGTTTTCATTTTCTCTAAATTTTTTGTTTTTTCTCACATGTTCAATCAATGGTATTAATTTCTTATTTTTTCCTCCCCCGTAAAACAATCTTACTCAATAACCTTCTACCTTGAGTGGCTCTTGGGCCTTGCATTGCGTGAACTAACAGTAAATTAAAAAAAACAACAAAAAAACTGGTTCTTTCCCTGGGCTCGAAAGTCAATCTCTAGCGCCGATTACTATCTCTGTCACTGTAGTTTGATTGTCTCCGACAATCCAGATAGATTATAAATCTCAATTGTAAAAATCTAACAGATCTCAATATAAGGATCGTTACGGATGCATACCCTGGGGATTTGGATAAGTCAAGCGACAATAGCTTCTAACGATTTCCTTTCACCTAAAGTTACTATTGTCTACTGCAATAAATACATATATTTTTAAGTGATAAAAACGAGAGAGCTACAAAAACCCCAGATGTCAAGGTCCTTCTCTAACGAGGCCAAAATGCTCGTGGACTTAAAAACAATAACGCATAACCATGTATTTGGTTCAAATATTCAGTCTTTTGACACGAAATGCAATAGGCCGTGAAATTTATATCCCATTTCTAAACAGCTGTCGTCTGACTTGAACGTGAGTCTGCTGATTCGATTGATATAGCAAGGATAACATAAAATAGAGAATATTTTAAATTGATCTTGACTGTATTAATAAAACTTCAATTTTTTAATTCTTCACGCTATATATATATATATATATATATATATATATATATATATATATTATATGCGCGCTACTTATTAGAAAGCGCACAATATCAGAGATAGAGCTAACATATTTGGTTGGATTAATGTGAGTTTGTGACCCTGCCCCCCCCTAATTCCATAATAACACCAATAAACGCAATCTACAAAAATCCAAAATTTAATAAAAGTAATCAGTTTGTCTGACGATCGCAAAAGCATGAAAACCAGGATCACAAACTCCTATCAATCCAACCAAATATATATATATATATATATATATATATATATATATATATAAAATGGTGGTATCGTTTGGAAAAAAAACGTCGGATAGCTCAACTTGCAGTAGAACAAATCGGTACCCGAGGAAAAATGGTGAATAAAAAAAGAAAGAACCAAGAACATTAAACCAAGGCGAAAACAATCGTCCAGTGTTCAAGTTCCAAGTCCAAAGAAGAAGAAAAAAACAAAAACAAAACGAGTGAAAATACAACTACGCAAAGTGCTCAATACACTAAGTAGTGTAAAACCTAAGATAATCCTAAGGAGCCAGGCAAACCTACCTAGGTTTCACCTAAACGGGTCTTCAGGGTAATCCTGGCTTAAAAAGAAAATTATGGAACCGTATTTATAGCTAAAACCAAAAATAAGCTTGACATGTGACAAAAAAAAAACCTTTAGGATTTTATTCCAAATTATATATCCGATTATCTTGGATGTGATGGTAAAGACTCTAGTCTTTAGGGATAATTAATTTATTTTAAAATTTTCTATTTATAGATTTTTTTTCTCGGCATCTTATTAATACGTAGCAATAACAAATCAGATTTCAGAGTTTACCGCAAACTCACTAACAAAAACGGTTTAATTACTGTATTTTCCGGCTAACAAGACGCACTTTTTTAACTAAAAAGTACCCGTGTGCGTCTTCTAACGCAACACCCAGGTTCAAGTCAGCTTTGACTTTTGATAGATTTGTATGTTGAGTCCTTACACTATAATGTTAGCTATCTATCTAATTCAGCCTCTTATAAGATGTAACCTCAGTACTTAGCTGTTACAAGTATTTCCTAGACTATAAACCTTCCTGGAGCCGAGCCACAAGCTTAAACATACTCTGTTTACTAACAGCGGCGGGAGCCTTTCTGATCTGACTAGTATGTCATTGCCATACAAACAAAATCGGACGAGTGATTAATGTAAACAATACGTGGCGCCAGTATGTGAGGGACGCATGGTGAATGTGTTGTTGCATGAGAATGATTTTTTTTTTCTTAGAAGTTTCTTTCCAAAATTAGGGCGCGTTTTCCAAGCCTCAGTGTCTTGTAAGCTGGAAAATACGGTAATTTCTATTCCCATCACTGTCAAAAAATAAAATCAGGAGTAGTCATAGGATACCACCTCAGAGCCCTTAGAATATATTGCCTAGATTACCTAGGAGAAGAAGAGAAATACATTGGAAAAGCATTTAAACTTCTTCACGCCCCACATCAACGGTAAGAAACGGTTCATCAATCGCCAACACACACACACACACACACACAAAAAAAAACAAAAAAAAAACACGTAAATATCACTTCTACTCTAACAATTTATTTTCTCACACTTCTTAACTGTTGAACTCCCTTCCGGTTTCTTACTTCCCTGATAACTACAATCTTCAAAAATTTCAATCAGTTTTGTTTCAAATAATTTTCTCAAGTTATCTCCCTTAGGTTTCTATCTCCGCATTATGTTTTCTCGATAAATCCTAAGTTTCTAACTTAGTTGCCTCTAAGTTAAATCCAATTATCCAGTTATCTTCCTTAGAGATAACTGAATAACAAAACAGTTTATTCAAATGTATATTTACGAAATATAACGTTTATTAAGTCAAATACCACAGTTTCATCCCCCTTGGCAATAATTCGCCTACGGGTGATGGTAGAAGGGGTAAATATCAACGTGACTTGAGTAATCTTTGTCCGTAGTTTTATCTACATGTGAGACCCCCACTGAAACCTCAGGCTTGTGATACATTTCATTTGAGTCGGGACCCAGTTAAAGAGGTAAAACTACAAAGACCAGAGAAAATTTCACGGTTTTCCTATTTTAAATTTTCTAATGAATCTTAATTCTTCAGTTAATGATTGAATAAGCTCATGGCGAAATCTATATCCGTAGAAATTCTCTGATCACATCGTTAAATATTCGAGCTTAACAACACAAAAATATTGCAATAACAATCATAAATATGAATGCTGGTCGTTAGTAAGGGGGTACAAATGACAAAATTTGAAATTGACGATTTTTTCCATTTAACTGAAACAGCCGTTAAATTTTTCTTTCTTTCTTTCTTTCTTTCTTTCTTTCTTTCTTTCTTTCTTTCAATCATTCATTCATCAATTAGTCTTTTTACTTCTTTCCACGCAATTAAAATGGAATAGTCCAGTTATTTCTGAGCTATTGGCAGGAAACTTCAAACAGTTTTAGCTTCCCTTATTTATTTATTTCTAACCATATCCCTGTCTTACGAACATTTCTCTTAATAATAAATTTTAATTAAAATAATTTTAATAAAATAATTCAGCAGGCGATGTTAGTTAATTGAATTTAAGGTAATTGGAGTTTTAACGGTTTTCGGGCTGAGATCAAAGTGTAGTATCTGTTTTTATCAGCTTAATTTGATTCTCTCTCGACTTCTTTCTTTCTTTCTTTCTTTCTTTCTTTCTTTCTTTCTTTCTTTCTTTCTTTCTTTCATTTTATCCCTGAAACCAAGTAATGTATTTTCCCCTCTTATCACGCGAAATAGTCCATTATTTATGAGGTATTCACAGGAAGTAACGGTCATGCTAAATAAGACACTACCAATAAAATTTCCTCTGCCCAGGTTAAAAATAAATTTCTTAAAAACCGAAATGTTCAAGAAACGACTTTTCTAAGAAATCCAACTCATCGTTGTAAGGAGTGGAGCATCGTAGCGCATATGAAAGGCGTGTAACCTTTTCAGCTGAGGGTCCCGTTAAAACGTTTGAGCCAGTGAATTTGCGGTATCTTTTGAGGAAAATATCGACAAGGCCCATCAAAGAAAGCTGAAAAAGTACGAAATTCTGCGTGAAAAACAACGTATGAGAAATAAATGGACGGCCAATATATTTCCAATCGAAGTCGGATGCCAATTCTCGGGTGATCCCCAACAGAAAAAGACAAAATATATCAATTATATGCAAAATCGGATAAAGTATTTCTGATGCGTCCTGCGTGTGGGGTAATCATGTTTTGGTCTGAAACCATGTCGAACGTTGTGTTGCTGAAGACTTTGTTCTAGGAGCTACTACTATTTGCAGAGTTGCTTATTAGATATGAAATTTCGCCCATTACAAGGTTCGGGAGCCAATCAAAATAGAGTGTTAGAATTCAAACGGTAATGCTGAATTATCTGTTTGATATGAATGGAAGAAAAGGTGTCAGAAAATTAAGAATATGAGGACAAAGTGGGGAAATGATGATTGACTGTTGACTTTTTTTTAAGTCAAAAGGTCGATCGTCATCTTTCTATGTAACGCGAAAAAATGGAGAAAAAAATCCTATGTAACGTGTTTTATCCTTCAAAAGGATTTCTTCAAACTAAAGCCTAGTTTTATTTGTGGAATCATATGTATGTAGAAGGAATGAAATATAAAAAAACGATGATTAAAATAAAATATGAAGAGAAACGTAGAAAATGAGGGGGGGAAGATCATCATCAACATCAAAGTTGTTTCGATTTGAAGGCAAAAAGCAAATCAGTGTATTTTCTCATCTTCTGCAA